ATCATCAACTTTGATGAGGATCATGTGAGTCTGCTCTCTCTATTCCTCTTGACTGCTATTAGGTTTCGTAACCCGATTCAAGAAAAATGAATGCCTATTGGCATTCTCGTACGAGGCATATGCGAATGCATAAATTGGCACAAAGGGGCGCGTCGGACCTTGGAATAGCACCCCTATGGCAAATATATTAGTAAACGCGAAAATGGGTTCCCCATTTTTGCTGCTCTCAGTCAACTGGCGCAGTCTGCAAAAAGATGCATTAATTTTGCTGCTGAGGCATATTTTTGCAGTACAGCAATAGTGATGCCTGTGCTGAGCTGAGAACCTGGAATGGAGCCGAAGGGTGCAATGCGTGTTTCCTAATAACTCAGATCAAAAGCTCTGCGCAGAGGTTCTTGACATTCCGCCCCGCTCACTCCTTCATCCATCTCGTCAGTCCTTCCTCATTCATCTCACAGATTCCTCATTGACTGCTTTCCCCTCCAACACTGAGCGCTTCTCAATAGAATCTGATGGTTTATGGCACGATCTAAATCCTTCGTGCGAATAGGCTGCTTTCATAGTCCACGACCAGTCGCGCGACTGGTCGCTCACCAAATCGTAGGCTATGAAAGCAGGCATACTAATTCAACGTTATATTTTTTAGAAAAGACTTCGGTTCTGGAAGCGGACTAAGGGGGATGAAATGACAGTACAACTGTTGGATTCCTTCATTGTCCCGAAGGACACTGTTTCGATATCTGGGACCACAAGCAGCTCGATTGGCTATGAGAAGTTTAGTTTTGCTACCATAAAAATATTTTTATTCAAGCCTACCGTGGTCCATAATGGAAGATTTTAGATTGTCTTGTCGATTATGAGTTGCGGCAAGGTGAATGTATGGATTCCTCACTACGAAGGAGCACGATTCAAGTTGGACCCCACTCGGCATCTTGACAGAGTACGTATTGAGGTGATGAATCGCATTTACCCCTGTACGCGTTACATTTTCAGCGATACGCGTTTCACGCTGGATCGACAGTTCACAATGGTATGTGGGCATCTGCTCATCCAGAAGGTGAAAACAATACGGATGCAGTCATTGTTTGGGATACATCTGAAGTCAGTGACTAGTGGTTTTCGTTCCAACGAACCATATCAGTTTTGTGTTCCAGATGAGGGAAGTGGAAGCGTTGCGAACTGATGGCCGTGTCCATTCTGTTGAGTTCGACGGTAAAGGTCATTTGGTGTGTGCCACCGACAAGTCCGTGAGATGTTGGAGGCATGTGGCGTTGAGATTCGAATTCTTATGGGTGGTTGAACAGTCCCTTCGAGTACATGTGTCTCCCCTAGGAGCCTTCGCTTGGTCCGAAAAAACAGGTGATTCATTGAGTCGCTTTAGTTTACTGTTTAATTTACGATTTTCGCGTATCTCACTCTCTCAGCTACTGATACAGTACTTGCTCTGGTGGTTGGGGAAAGAGTAAGATAACATTTGCAGTTATTGCCGCTGCCTTTCACTGCCACTTGCAAAACTGAGAACCGAAAGCTCAAGTCTAAAACAAGGCCTCGATGTGTGTTATTTAGATTTACTGGCGACTTATTGTGTTTTTACTACTTAGTTTATACTACTACTTATTCCAAATACTAACTGAAGGGTTTGAGAAAATTATATGGGAATTCGGGGAACCACACCGTTCTCAGAACACTGTTGATAGTGATTCTGTCAGTTTCAGTGATTGAATTTGATGCAGAGACAGCTGCAATGAAGAATTCATTCTTTTTGGAAAGTCCAATATTAGATCTCGTCGCGATTGCCCACGATGACCTAGCTGTACTTGTTACCGCCAAAACAGAAAAGGTATCCTATTTCCTCGATTCATCATTTATGCTTATTTCACTCATTCATTATTGCAGGGTTTATACTTTGCGCATCCGAAAGTGAGCGTGAAGAAATCTGAAGAGAAGTCCAATTCAACAGCAAAAACACCATTCGCTCAGCTTGCGCCAGTGAAACCATCGTCATCCCAGAAGAGTGCAGAAGCAGCGTTACGACCAGCCGGTAAAGCCGCCGCGATGCGTCTACTTGAAGGACCAGCTCACACTCTTCCTCCCATATCACATATAGCGCCCCTATTTATTTCCCATTGCCTCGCTCCTCCTCTTCAAGAATGAACTTACGGCTTTCTTTCTTTTTTTCAACAGTCTCTTCCTTGTGTAGAGCTCAATTATTGTTCATGCTAGGCATTATTGTTGTTCACTGTGTTGTTGATTGTTCTCGTTGATCCCTTGTTATTCCTCACTCGTCCTGTAGATATCTTGATGAAATTCGAATCTATCCTTTTCGGATAACATCTCGGTAATATGTTGTGACCGCGTCGAACTTCAGCTGTGTCAATCGACATGGCGACTACTTGCTATTCACTGAGCGCTGTCATCCATGATTCCCGTGCAGTGCATATCACTGCACTTGATCTTGCGCAATTAATCTGTCCCCATTTGCATCCACGATATCGTTGTCCACTTGGGAACCAGTGCTCAAACATTTGAAATATGAGTGTTTCAGTGGAGATTAGTGTAGCCAACCAATGGTTCCACCTCCTCAATCACAGTCTCACGGGTGAGCTGGTACTCGGCCTCCCACAGACGTCTTTCGAGCTTGATAAACAGACCCGGAAGACAAAAAAGTATATTCAACAAAGCTGCATGAAAAGTCAATTTTTTTTTGCTGTAATACTCTAGTTGAGTTGAGTTCTAACATGAAATCAGCGACCACTGATTGTGAGTTCGAAAGGACAGATTGCTTTTCGGCTCCGTACAATGACTGGGAGGGTGGTCAGTAGTAAGGGGCACTCTATCACACAGACATGGCATTGAGATCGAACCCTGTATCAACACTAAGTGTAACCCTCCATCTGTCCGGGGTCGGTTAATTGAAACCTGACTCTTCTGAGAGGATAGCAGCACTGACTTACACATATTCTGACTAACTCTAATGGTTGCGTACTGCTTTGCCTGTACTGCATTCTTTG